AAGCAAAATCACAATAGCTACATTTAATGTTGCTTTATATACATTTTAATTAATTTAATTATTTATTGTTTCTATTTTTATGTACGATTTCGAGTCCTAAGTATTGTAGTAGTGGACGAAAAAGTAGTTCATAAGAATATAGTGTCTTGCCTTTAATAGATACTGTAGGTAGTGTTATTGGACACTTTCTTATGTTAAATATCTTTTTCTTATTAGTAAAGTTAGGCTAAATCGTTATAATCAATTGTGTCTTTGTGAAGAGACAATTTATTAAATAAAAACGATTTAGGTTAAGATTTGATTCGATTCAGATCCGACAGACATCCGGTAGACACGTCGAACAAAAACAATTCTCGAATCCACTTGATAAAACACAAAATTTCCATCGAAATCGATCGATCGATTTTATTATACGCAGAGATTTATATGTATACTAGCAGACTCGGCCAAGCTTTGCTGTGGCTGAAGTTTTTGTTATATTACATAGTAGTAAACTATTCAAGGCAAACGGAAGGAGAACAGCAGTCATGGGGACCCATTGGGACCATGCTTTTTTGGTGGTTATGCTATTAAATTGTAGCTTATGTGAAACGTTGGTGCTTTCAACACAGCGCCATCTGTTAGAATTGTGACTGTCAAATAATAAACAAATAATTTGCAATAAAATAATATTACGGGTATAAATGAAGATTTAAGCTATCCTATCTTTTAAGTTAGTTCAAACGCACACGGTATGCAAATTTGATTGAAATCGGTTCAGTAGTTTAGGAGTCCATAAAAATGCGGACAAACACGTAATTTATATATATTAAGATAGATTGTAAGTTACTAATATGTACACTAATACAATAACGATGCCCGAAAAGTTGTATAGTATATATCAAAATACATATGTGTATAAAATAACGACTCGTATAAATAAAATAAAATAAAAGCCTTTATTGCTGTAATTACTTATACTAGTACATAAAATGTGAAATACTAAAAAATTAACACATAAAATAAAAATTAAATATTGATTTCTTTATTTACACTTTATTACCTTATACAAAACATACATATAAAAAAAATATAAAAAAGTAGGTGACATAAGTTATTAGGCAACGGGTGGCCTTATCGCTAACAAGCAATTTCTTCCAGGCAACCCTAATATGGAACAATAGAAAAGAAACACCTACAGAGGGTAAAGTAAAAGAAGTGCAGAAGAAATTAACAAAAAAAAACTCAAAATAACATGTAACAATAACTAAAATAAAATATAGTAAAATCTAAAAATAATAATAAATTAAAATATGTATAAACAAAAATTTAAAAGCCAATCAAAAGTATAACACTAATAATTAATCGGCAAGCCGGTTGATTTCTGTTATACAGCTTGTCCTTGGACATAGGCCTCCTCTAAGACCTTCCCGTGTCTAGCTATACATAGCCACATAGGGCCAGCTACTCTTCGCACATCATCTTCCCATCTTTTTATTTGTCTTCCTCGTTTTCTTTTGTCATAGCGAGGAGCCAGGTTAGTAAATTATATTTTATTAAATACTTATGGAATTGAAACTAATGGTCACAACCTTTAAGGCCTGGGCCTCAGATTTCTGTTTCGATTCCGTGATCATTTCTAATCAAGATGCTCCTTCTGTGTTAGACTCGCTGTCGACATTTTCTTCACATACTGTGATGCTTCACGTTTTCTTTACCGCACCAGCGAGTGCTAAACGCGTCTATCAAGTAAGTACAAACCTATGACCCCAGGGTTGAGAGCAGTGGCGTAACTATACCCTCTGGGGCCAGGGGCAAATTCTTTTGATGGGGCCCTATCAGTAAAAATCGTCACGTTGTACTCAGTTTCCTTTTATTAAACTTCGAGATTTTCAGCGTACTCAATTACACGTTGTATATGTCCCACTAATGGCCATCGGCCTCCTCTTTTACAGGAATGGTTTGTAGTCCCCACGCTAGCCCAATGCGTATTGAAGACACATTCATCAATAGAACATAATATCTCTTGGGCAGGGGCCCTCTTGGGTCGGGGTCCCGTGGCATTTTGCCAGCCCTGCCACGCACTTTTATTACGCCACTGGTTGAGAGTTGCACGTAGAAAACACTGCTCAATATGGAATTCATAAAGAATTTGATAAAATTTGTGACAGTGCAATTTAAGCTTGTATTTCTTTAGAAATATTAAAATAAGCTAAGTCTATATATGTTTATGACCTGAGCCAAGATATCAAAAACAATACCCAAGGTCTGACTTGCCTTGAATACAATATAATGTGTGTCCAATATGTGGTTATTTAGAAAAATATTTAGAACAATATCTAATCCAAAATTTTCTTTGCCTAACTTCAAGGAGTCAAAGACAATTTTAAAGGAGTTTCTAGCTGACCTCTAGATGTAACTGTGAAATATGATATAAATTTAAATTGAATTTCAGTGTTTTACTACAAACTAATTGGTGTTTATTTCTCATAATCTTTAAACAAGGTTAATCACCCATAATGATAACACAATGCACTCGGACTATATATTAGTCATTTAGTAAACATCTAAAAATATTATAACACTTCATATGAACAGAGGTTTAAATTACATTAGCTAAAATATGTTATATTGCAGCGCCAGCATATTACAGAATAAACATCTAACAATAAAACTTACCTTCAGATTCGGAGTCAAAATCCGGTATGTCAAAATTCATTTTTGTCATTCTGGAGTCATACTTGGTGCTAAGTTTCGACTCCCTAATGTCCGTATTCAGTATGGTTATATTAAAATTACATTGACAAGACTTTAAAGTAGGCCATTTGAGTGTTTGATAAAAACAGTATATAATTATTATGTCGATAGGTTTTACTTAGAGTAAATCAAATTTGCATTGGTGTATTTAATAAATATCTTCATTTAGTATAAAACAAATCTTGATGATTTCCAAATAGGTTTTTAACAAGAACTTTTCTCTCGCTTCCCCAGCGATGTTAACATGTACTTAATACATTTTTAAACGAACGCTACCTAATTCTTGAAAACACGTTTCCTAATGATGTCCGCAATTAGCAGAGCAACAATGTTTCTAAATTGCTGTTGCTAAATGCATGTAGTACTCCATTTTACCCATTAATAATAAAAACAAACGCTTCAATGTTGTTTCCACTAACGCAGCACGCAGCATTGAATAATATTATAAAAGTAATACCAATGAAAGAATTACCGAACTCATTAAGCTTCAGAAACAACGACCACAGATTTGCATAACGCTTTGTTCCAATTAATTACTCATAACGTAAGCGACTCAAATGATCAATTATTGTAAACAGCCAGTACCTTTTGAGTAGGTACGTGTAATAGGACAAAGGAAGGTGTTAATTAGTAGTGGACAAAAATAGTCGTGGCGGGCCCTGGGGCAGTGACGTCAACGCGCCAGGGCCGCGGGGGGCAAGACGGGCCCCGCGCCAGTGCCGCGCGCGCCGTCACACGAGACGCACGCCGCCGCTGCCTCCGCCCGCGCCGTCTGCTGCCTCCACACCTCACCCTTCACTACGCCACCCGTGAGTACTCCCATTTCACCCTATACCCGCGAGTCACCGAAAGCCACTTTCCACTCGCTGCTTCGCAAATCGCGTAAATAAAAAATTGTTATTCAGTTTCACTCGTGTGTATTGAGTGATGAACTACGTTTCCTACATATTAGACTTTGATATTATAGATATAGCATTGCTTTGGTCATAGATTAGTTACTGAGTCGAAGGAGCGTGGCAACCTTGGCGCATCGTGCAATGCAGCGGAGACCTTGCAAGTCACACGTCACAGTAACCTCGGCTCACTGCTCGTGCCGCCACTCTGACGTATATAGCTATCTTTACATTAATTCTTTGTACGTCATACATTGCTCTGCGATCACGAGTAATTAGCTGTGTCGATATTTAGAAGTCACAATGTACTTCAATTTATTTTTTTGCTGACGGAATACGACACAGCTGAGCACCAACATAGTTCAGATAAAAAATAAGACGCGGTCACTCAAGGACGGCCGACTGCCATCGAGTGGTATTTCCCGTTTGAAAAGTGGCACAGTACACTAGTCACCAATGACGTCCGCGGTGCAATGAGGCTGATTGCGGTAGGGAATTGTATCAAATTAACGCAACGAAGGCCTGAAGGTGTAGAGGGCCTCAGTTTCCCGAGTTATCGCAAAGGAAAAACACGCCATACTTTATCGTGTGTTGTGCTCGCTATCAGCTGTTGAAACGATGCGGTGCGCGGCCGCTAACTCGGTTAGTTATTTCAAGCAATTTTCACCCTTATGTCGACGTAGGAGCATACGTGATTCGTTAATTACAATTCACTAAGAGCAAGTGCGTCAATAAATAATGATATATTTTTGCTATATTATTATACTATGGTTAGTTGAACACTAATTAACATGCAAATAGGTCTTTTCACACTTTTTGTAATTGATATTTTTTGTAATTTACATAATAAGTAAACTTTAATTGATAGCGTTGCGAGGTAGTTTATTATCTTAAAGCAAACTTACTGTAATAATATACCTTAAAAATATATTAATCAGTCCTCGACTCATGCCCTCAATACTTCGTGAATAAAACCAAGTATAAAGCTAAAATCCACAAATGTTTTCTCGTGAATATGTCTTGAATTGCACACCAAGTCGCAATAAGCCCAGAGTTAGTTATTTACATATTCATAAGTGCTGCTTAAGTAACATTGAAGATAGCCTCTAAACGTCTTTACTCACTTTTTTTACCTCGGTCCGACATTGATCAGCGTTTACAAAACCGGTAGGCCGTTACCCTTCACAGAGCAACTAAGATGGCAAAACAATTCCAGAAACTTTTAACTCTATTAAGTATACAGATAAAAACAAATGAATTGTCTTATATGACGTATCCACAGAATATTTTAAAACTGTTAAATGCAATGCAAAAATAATGTGTCCTGAATAAACATAGTTTATCACAAGTATTCTCATTCCACAGATAATCATGGTGAGAAAATACGAAAGGATAAGCGGACGCCAATCGTGGAGCGAAGAAGAAATGGCGAAAGCCGTCGCTGCCGTGGTGTCAGGTAAGATGGGATACAAACTGGCTGCCAGAACGTTCCACATACCACGGTCCACCCTCCAGAGACGTGCAAGTAAAGTACGCTACCAGCAACCGGATGATCCTAAACCTCTAATGGGGCATTATAGAAGAGTATTCACTGACAGTCAAGAGAAAGATTTAGTTGGATATATAAAGAGTATGGAACAGTTCTTCATGGGTGTCACAAGAAGGGATATAAGGGAACTGGCATTCCAATACGCCGAAGATAATCACCTGAATCATCCTTTTGATGTAAACGCGAGAATGGCCGGAGAAGACTGGGTTCGAAACTTCTTAAAAAGAAATCCTGAATTGCTTAACAAGCCAGATAAAGAGTTCGAACTCGAGCCTGTTAACTTCGATCAGTTCTATCACTTCATGTGTCAATCATGATGATTTGGGCACTCTCATATGGCTAACTATAAGTAAAGGCCGTGGCCCACCCGAAAGAGCCTCACTTAGTTCCAAAACGTGAAACGTTAGCGTAATACTATCGTAATTATTGTACCCTTTTTAATATTGTTTACTTTCCTGATGACCTTAAAGCGAGGCAATCTGATTTCCTTGTGATGCTAAAGATACATTGCTAGGGAAGGTGAATGGTGATTGTATACATTTAAAATGGGATAAAATTTGGTAATTTTATAAATGTTTTAAACTGAATTAGGTAATAAGAGCAAAGCTCTTGAAGTGACGAAAAATGTTACGTACATTTAGTTTTAATGCCATTTTAGTTATGTGCTTGGGTACTTAGTCTTATTGTAACTAATATTTGAATTATATTTTAAAGTTTAAATTATGTTATTTAATAATAATAGCAAAATTACGGGCTGTGATAAGGAGAAATAGTATTTATGGGAACATATCATCGATTGATGTGTAGGCAATTTTTGTAGCGCTAAGCAAATATATTAAAATAACAACATAATTTATTGCATTTTAAAATATTGTAGATTTGATAATTATAAAAAAATATTTGATATTGTCTTAAATTATTCGTACACGTTTTGACTAACAAAAGTTATATTCTCTAAAAAAAGTGTTTAAAAAATTGTTTCAAAATGGGCGTTTCATATATTTTAAGTGTTGTTTTGGTTTTATAATACATATAAGTATTGTGATATAATGGAAGGTTATATAGTGGGCTAAACATTTTGTAAACTAGAAAAATTTTTGTATTTTTCCTAATTGTCTATTTCTCTAAACGAGGTTGATTACTAGAGAAATAACTCCGTACTGCTAATGTACAGTATATACTATAGTAACATTCTGTTCTTAATTTTACCTATTGTTGAAGTTGTATGGCACGTTCGTTTCTTTACGATTATCTAAAAAATAAAATATACATAATTATCTCTTTACAGTTAATATATATTTATTCCTTATCGAATAGGCTATTTATATAGACAACATGTTCTTTAAAGAATCAACTTCGTTTAATATTACCAAAATTTAAAATGTCACGCAACAATGTTACCTGATTTAAGTTTTGATCTCTTAAATTTAGTTTTAGTAAAAATATATTTATTTATACGTTGGGTAACGGAAATTAGCTACCATGGAATACTATGTTATTAATTTTAAAAACAATTTTATCAAGTACTTAAGTTTCAATTCATTAAAAGTTTTTAAATTTTACATTGTTTATTTTATTGCCACTATTTTAAGTTTGGGGTATCTTATTATCCTTCCGTCTTTTATAAACACAAATTATTATGTATATACGCCACGTCTTAGTGCTTTACAGCTTTCGTAGAGATTTTTTTATAGAACAAACGGGCAGGTGCACTTAGCATCATCTGATGTTAAGTGATACCGCCCACGGACACTCCCAATGCCAGAAGGCTCGCGAGTGCATGGCCAGCCCTTTAAGAATTGGTACGCTCTTTTCTTGAAGGACCCTAAAACGAATTGGTATACAGTCAAAATCTGTTATAACGACATCGAAGGGATTACTCATATTTGGTCGTAAAAACCGATAGTTGTAACAGCCGATGACGTTGGTTTTGAATACCTAATACAATAGAATTCAACCGGGACCTTTGATTTTGGTCAATATAACCGGTATGTTGTTCTAAACTATGTCGTCGTAAACGGTTTTTACTGTATATTACATATATTGCTTTAAATAAACACGCCTTCACTATTCAAAGTAACAAAAGCAGGTCACCTCTAAATATCCCTATAATATATCTATTTCAACAATTTTATTTATATGTAACTAACCTGATAGGCCTGATAGGCGTCCTGTACACACGTCGAAAATACAGGAACAAATCATCTAACTCTTTATATTTATTTTCAACACACAACATATATACAGTATTTATAATATTCTTAACCTACAATGTAATAATAATATTATTAAAAATTTATAGACAGAAAATTAAAACAAATTTAAAAAGTTTGATACCGTGGCAGTGTACCTTTAATGCTGGCAGCATTTCCTCGCTGTATTGCGATACTTAATCGTTGAGCGAGGAAAGCACCAGCTCAGGTCACCGATACTATCTACCAGGCGCCAACTTAAATCTTTAATTAGCGCCTGTGGACTTGAACTCCACGACCCAAGAGTATCTACTACAAAGGGAATAAATTGACAGAGGAAGGAATCATCTAATTGTAAGTCTAAATCCAATTGAACAGTGGATTCGAGAATAGTTTATACGAAAATAGGATAAAAATTGGTTCACCTGTTTAAATTATAAACACACGCACAGAAGATTAATATAAAATATGCATATCTATTTCAACACTTCATTTATTAATATGTAATATTTTCATGGGGACCTTCTTTTTCTAACTTTTTTGGACTGCATTAAGTTATTCTTTACTGTCTATACGAGTATGTCGCAGCCAACTAGCTCAATTAGCCGTTCCATTCACAGCCTAGCCTTTTGACTAAACAGCTCTGTTTAGCTAGCGGCCTGAAAGATATCAGCCGTAGCGTTTGTAACAACATTTAGTAAACTGGCTGTCTAATGCTTAGGCCAATCGTACCTACAACAGAGTGACCATGTGGCAGAAATAAAATAGATGAATGTGACAAAACTGACATATTTCTTTAAAAATTAAATTGCTTGAGTCAGTCACAGCTAAATTCACATTATTATAGTCACTACACTCTTTCATTAAACTTCGGTAAACATCATCAACGTTGTGGTTTTCTGACGCCATATTGAAAATAAGTTTTCGTTCCGAGTTTGAGAGAGGCAGAAAGTGGAACTAAATTTAAATTAACAGTCAACAGGGTAGGCAAGTAATGAAACATCATCGATCCAAGTCATGAGCCTAGCTGTTTGATCAACTGGCTGAATAACTTTCAGGCCGCTAGTTAAACGGCGCTGTTTAGTTAAGAGGCTAGGCTGTTGACTGAACGGCTAATTAAGCTAGTTGGCTGCGACATATAGATGAGATGAACAATGATGATTTTACACCAGAGTTGGTTTGATGTACCCGCTAATCTCATGAATGACTCGAATTGAATTTTGCGACGGACAGTGATTTAACAATGTAGGACTTGGAACACCACTGTTACTAAATCGCGGAGCACATTTATTATAAAAATATCGTAATATTAATGTCTCAATAATAAGTTTTTGTACGCGATCCCAAGGTCATATCAGCGCTACAGATATTGAGAGAACTACAGCGAACAAAATATAGTAACTTCAATAAATGTTGTAACGGTGAATACGCCTTCAAACTGTTGATTAAATTAACAATAGTTTATCATCTTCGGACAATTGGCTCACTGTAAATCCATGACCAAAAATATAAATTGTATCTCGACATAGGACATTAAAACAGTTTTAAGTCTTTGCCTATTTTTTCTTAAATTATATATTTTTTTGCTTGCCTGGGTGAAATCACTTAGCAACATGGACTCACGACCGTATCGTTGGAGTTTCATTGTTTTGTACTTATGCAACAAGGTGTTAATAAATGTGTCCAATACATATAACTATAGTAGAAAACACTAATTTAACATTGTATTACTTAAAGAAATAAAAGAACTAAAATGGAAATGGGCTGGACAATAAGAGGAGCAGATAAATGGAGCAAAATTGTAACACTATGGTCTATGGCAACCCAGAGGCGATAAAAGAAGAGAGGAATTTAGAAGGTGTACCGATGAAATCATGGAAATGGCTGGAAAGACTACCTGGAATAAGACCTGGACGAGATTGGTATACAATAAAGACAAATGCCTTTGCCCGTAGGCACACAGAATCGGTAATCGTAGATTAAGAAAAAAGGGAACTGTACTTATGTACGCGCGTAAGAAGTTATACTTCTTTGGCATTATTAAAAATAGTTTTTGATTGCATGCAAATAATTAATCACAATTAAATAATCAAAGACTGGAACAGGAGTCATTATAGTCAATAAAGTTCAGTTTACATTTAAAAAATTAAATAAATAAATATTCATTATTATTCTCTTACATTAAATGTAACATAAATTCTATTATTATTTGAATGTTGTTTTTAAATTATGTCCGTAGCATCTTCCGTGGGCAACTTCATTCTGTTAATTTTATGTCACGGTGCGCGCGCATCGTAAAATTTCATTCTCATCAATTTTTCATAACGCGCCTAAAGAAGTATAACTTCAAAAAGAATAGGTATAATGTATATATTTCGATTTCTAAATCGAACTGTGTTCATTTTAAAACTTTGTAGACGGTATACCGATGCTGTCTCGAAGATATATAGACTCGGCATTTACACGGTGTGAGTGATCTCCAGCTAGCTATTTGATAAAGCACATTATATTATAATTTAAGTAAATTATAGAAAGTACTACTGCCAGGAACAAATAGTAAAATAAAAAAACGGTGTAGGATAGTTTTACCCGGGAATCTTTCATCATCACCAATGGCTGTACAGCCACTTATGGGCCTTAGCCTCCGCAAGTATTTTTTGCCATCGCAACCTTGACCAGTCTATTCGACAAACGCAGCCTCAGTCTACCGGGTTTTCTCTTGATACCAGGTTGTGAGTTCAGTAAGGACCTTGGGGTTCTGTCTTCTACCATACGATGCACATGTCCCAACCACTTCAGCCAGTTGCATTTTAAGAATTGGACGATGTTGGCGTCGTCATGGATGTTGTAAAGTTCTTCATTGAAGCGAATACGCCAAGCAGAAAAACCCAAGGTGTTTTCAAGTATCTTTATGAGAGTTTAAAATATTATTTTTAATGCTTTTGCGGGTGAAACAGCTACGACGATAGCATACTTATCTTTCCACAAATGCTTTAGAGGAAAATGTGTGGGAATTAAAGATTTTTTTATTTCATAGTTCTTTTCCTAAACCCTTTCTCATAGAATCAGCTGGAAGCATATTTATTTGTGTGCAAATATTTACATAAACTTAATGCTGCATTCTT